TATACGCCCTAGCCCAGCCACTAGGGCTCGCAACAACCACCGGTTGGGATTAGCCTTTGGAATCTCACATGTTGATCCGACTGAACGAAGGTACCTGCCATACCACTTCCATCTAGGGACATGTGGTAGCCCCTCGGGTGACGCCAACAATCCCACATTGAAGTAATGACCCAAGGTGCTCCACCTCTTTCCTCTATAAATAGGGCTCTCGCTCCAAAGCACCAGGTAATAGTAATTTGGCACTAGTACCGTTACTCTGTCTAATTACGTTACACACTCCGTCCTTAAGATAACTTAAGCATTCGAGAGCTTTCGTCGAGTACCACACTAGTGCCTAAGATCTTCACCTTTGCTACTCCTGCAGATCCGTTCTACATTTGCTGCAAGACGCACTCAACCGCAGGCAAGCTCACTTCTAAGTTGAATCCATTTTCCAACATCAACATTTGACAAAACACTAGCTTGTCCTAGCTATGCGCATTATCTGAATTAAACTTTTACAGCTCTACGTGGAATGATCGCACTCCATATACATCCTAGACAGAGAAAATAGAAATGAAACAAGGGATCCAAAGGGAAGCCGATTTGACAAGCAGAAGGTTCTAGGCTAAAGTAACTAATATATTTAACATTAAAAGTTTAAAAGGGATAAAATGTTTACACATATTTAGGCTTTTCAAAAATAACTTTATATTCTATCCAATCAAAAAATGTTAACAGTTGGAGAGTACCACTTGTAAATTTGCTTGTGTTATTCTGAGCAGTAATATCTCTCAATCAATCTTAACGAAGCCTTGATTGGCATAACCTAACAGATCATGTTTAGTGTATGTTGCTGTTGAGGACAAGAAAGGCCCACCAAGTAGACATAACACCACTGCATCCCACGTGATTTTCGTACATGACATTGTTCATCTCCTTATCTGAAAACGATCTTAGTCCCACCATTGCTGGGTTTTCTCCCTTCATTAATTAATGCATGGTTTCTTCCATGATTAATATCAACTACCTACATTATACATGTACTGATGTATATAAGTATCTGTAATTCCACTTCTTTCTTTTTTTCTTATATCTATTTACATGAATCTATACCAAGTTTTAAATAGTGTCAAGGAGTGGCTTGAGTTCATTCTTACAAATTATAGTTTGACATGGTTGATAGTTCCATACCAAGTTTTAAATAGTGTCAAGGAGTGACTTGAGTTTATTTCGTACAAATTATAGTTTGACATGGTTGATATTTCCCCCTTATAGGGAATAATTTCAATAAATATTCACTTCAATTATCACACATGGAATAATTATAACACGTGACTGTACTACCGTACTATATATTATGCATAATAAAAAATGCCGCTTGATATTTGGAAGGAATTAAGTTAGGGATATGAAATATGAGAAGGAGGTAAAGAATGCTTGAAAAGCACGTCTTTATGTTTGTCCCCAGGCCCAGCACAGCCATTGTTAAATTTGCCTTCAACATGTATTCAAGTCCAGCTTAAAGATTGTTTCACCGTACGTAGTTTTCAAAACCCCAAACAATAAAAAACTGAGCCACAAAAAAAAAAAAAAAAAGGATAGGATTATAATTGATCAAAATAATTGGGTGCTAGTGATAAAACTGGTTGGATTATTCCTCTTGCTCAAGGGAAATCGCTCTCGATAAACATTTCCTTTCATTTTGAAAGTTTACCTAACAGAACTTGTCATGGTCTGGTTATTAGGCTGGGAAATGTCTGTGCCCACTTCGTCCACCGCGGTTCAATATATGGCCTACAGATCTTGCTTGTTGTAAGGTGTTCCCTGGTCTCTATTTCTCAGAACAAGCAATGTCTAAACATAACCAGAAAATGAAGGAGAGCAAGCTGCAAAATTAAAGATAACTACCAACAGGGCTCAATAACACTCAACTGTTCACATGTATAAATGCTGTTTGTGTCGATCTATTTGGGTATTATATGATTGGAACTAAAAGAAAGAAGAAGTCAATGAAGTTTTATTCACCACAAATTAATCCAAGGCTACTGGTCAAAGCCTCGTCGAAAAGTGCTAGTTAAAGTTAACTTTGGTCCTATGCTTTCCTTAAATAACCTAGGGTTCATCTGGATACAAGGATTCCAAATCTAAGGATTTGTATGCATGCCAAGATTTGAATAAGAATGAAATGAATAAAACAAATGGATTTCAAATGACTCCTTGTATAGTAATTCCAAATTTTTTTAATGTATTACATCTAGTTATTTCAAATACATTGAATTTAATGTAATTGAGTTTTTCTTTCAAATACCTCCATCCAAATGAAAACTAAGATCTCCCGACGCATATATTACAAATGTGGGATTTAGCACGAAATACAATTATGCAGTATTTCTACATGTCCGTCTCAAGAGTTTACGCGCAACAGAAAGGGAAAAGAAACTATTGAGACGAATATTTAGAAAAATACCGGTTATAAAAGGAAAACTTTTAAGAAGACCATTTAGAAAGTACATTGGAAAAATAAATAAATAAATAATCTTTTTAAGACGCGCATAGCGCGAATGATAAAAAAATGCATCTTGCACCTGCCGAAGTGTGTGCGAAGTGGCTAGTATCCCTTTAAAATAAAACAAAAACTGCGATCATAAATCAATTTTATTCATCTTTTTTTGTATCCCTCTAAAATAATAAAATTCACCTCGACTATAGGCTATAGCCTATAGCCTCACCTTGGTTCGAACAAAAGCGAGACCCCTTTTAAGTAGCTGGTTGCCAAATTGAAGCAGATGACAAAACTGCATTAATGAATTTTTGGTCATTAATAAGAGGGTTTTGTCCAAGCATCTTTTCCACACTAGACCAGCAGGAGACATTGATGTTGACACTGTAAGACCTTCTTGCTCACGTAGAGAGTTACTACAAATTTAAGTCGCAGTCCAATTGCAGCACATGTCTAAGTATCTAGGTAGCACAAGACTGTTCATCCATCTGTCTATAAAGACCCTGACCATCAAGGCACTCTCTATATATGCAGATAGAAGGACTTGAGATTTGATCAATATTATATGTTGCACTACTACTTGGACTAGCTCAAGCTATAACCGAGTCTAATTATTAAGATATGGCCGCCATACCGTTCAAGCACCTTCTCCTTGTGGCCTTCATCTTGCTTTGTTTCATCTCTATCACAGCTGAAGGTAAATTATTTATATATATTTCTTCTTGTTTTGACACATAATACAAATTGCACAAATTAAGTCCAATTACTTAGCACTAATTAAACTTGGTTTATGTCTTGTGTTTGTGATTCGTCGCAGGACGAAGCTTGGGAGTGGTTAGTAAGAGTGCTGATGATGGTCATCAGAAGAGCCATGATCTTCATGACCCCTTTAAACAGAAAGAAGAGGTGCCAGATGAGAGCAATGATTTTCTGGCTATGGATTACACTCCAGCAAGTAAAAAGCCTCCAATCCATAACTAAACAAGCTGCGCCTTGAGGCGATTTGACGACGCCTCCCCATGACTCTCGCAAGCCTCAAAAACGCTTTTCAAAACCTTGGTATATTGCAGTTTTGTTCAAGCAGTACTAGCAAGTTAAGTTTTGCTTCCTAGCTAGCCCAAAACTCAGAAGAGTGTTAGCTTAGTCTCAATCTAGATATATATCCTCAATCCTCTACACAAAATATGAGAAAAAAACTGCTGAAAATACATGCTACCAGAAAATATTGTAAAGCCATAAAAACAATATTTATTATCTTATGGGATGGTGCTCTGTACAGGTCTTCTGTTCACAAAACCTTTGCTTTCTCCCAATCCATGGGGAATATGATGCACCAGTAGTTCATTGGTGAAAAATGTCCTTTTATCCCTCCCCTCAAAGCATTTTTATATATGCATTCATGAGCACCACTAACTAAACGGAACTTTTTTCAAATCTAAAGCAATATTAAATTCAAAGACGACAACTTGGAAAAGGCAAGTTTTCCAAACCTAACCAATATTTAAATCAAGTCTATCATTAGCAGCACTAAGCCACTCTTTCGAGATTAATTGTTTAATCAAGTTATATATACGTCTTACCAGCTGCTGCAAAGAGGTGTGTTCAAGTACATATTTCATTGCTGGTTGTTGATCAATGATCATTATGTATATTTCACATCTTGGTTGCACTAAAAAAAAAGAGTGTGCATTAATAATGTTCGTCTTCATACTTCAGTGGTTGTTCATGTCAACTATTCAAATGTTTTGAGGAGATAAAGAAAGGCGGAAAAAAAATTACGTGTTGTTGTTTATGTCGTGTGAAAGTGTTGTTGTGGTGGGATAGCATATAGTGACAGGTATATTTAAAAATTAATATTAAGCAATAAATTCAAATATGTTATACATTTGAACCGGATCACTGTGACAGGAATAATGTCATCGAATTTCTTCTCTTAAGAGAAAAGGACATAGTCCAATGATGATGCGTGTGGACAAACCTTTCTAAGAATTAATGACTGCATATTGGATTCGGGTCTCGTACGTAAGAACTTTAGGCCAGAATTTGAAGACAAATATGTATGTTGAGAGTATCTCATTTTGGAAGATGGAAGCTGTGCAATTGTCCTTAAAAGATTTTGGGCTTCTCTACTCATTGCCAGTTAGTTTTGGGTTGGATACTAACATTCTAATATGGTATATAACAATCAATGGCGGATCCATGAATTTTTCTTTCAAGGGCGAAATCAAATATTGATTAAGTTTTCAACTATTTATTTCACACAATCTACTGGTGCTAAAACTGAAGGCACTTAGCTTAATTCATTAGTACCAATAATTACATGTTTTTTTAAAGCTAAAACTAAATGCAGTATATCATTCATAATGATATTAGTTTTCGATAAAAGCTTTTATACAACCACATTGCATAATATTAAGCACACCAATAAGTCAAACAAATTCATTAACACCCAAGCAATTAGCCATAATCACTTGCTGGCAAGAGTGCAACATGTTAATAGACATATATGTGGGCAGCAATATGCCAATACTTGAATATGCAAGGTGTACTCTGTTGGATTTGCCCCTATCTCAGCCTCCTCTTTGGGGCATTTAGTCGAACATCTTGCAGGCTTTGCACCATGCTCCAAAAACACAACAAACCAGCTGGGCAATTTCTTGGGTGGATCTCAAAAGGAGGGAGGGCAAGCGCCTGCACTCGCCTATTATAATAATCCTAACATGTTTCTTCACCCTCCCTCACCACTTGCCTTAACCCAAGTAAGTGGGAAGCACAACTTAGAGAAAGGGCAATCGGAAAATTACTGCAGGCACTCACAATAGCATTTCCGAACCAAAAGATTTGGATACACAAGAAACAGCAACAGATTTGCGAGGATGCTACCAGCAGACAATACACAAATGAGACATCATTAAAATTCACAAATATTATAACTCGACTAAAATACAAGATGTCACATGTAAATGTGATTTTTCTCAACTCCATTATTGTTTGTCTTTTTTTAATTTTCGGTTTCTAGCTAAGAATTCTACTGTTGAGGTTGAATTTGCATGCGAGGTAGTGTACACATTCCAAGTTTTCCTTTTGTGAAAATTTCAAAATGGAGGTTGTGTAGTCCAACTAGCCTTGCTACGCGGACATTTCCAGGTCTCTCAAGTTGCAGAAGCCTATGGGCATTACCCTGGCTATCTTAAACCGCCTTTTTTCTTGAACTGCATTTCATGTATCAGCATTTGAGCTTTCTGGAGTAAACTGGAATCCTTGGAACAGATTATAACCAATTTTCTGCAGGTGCATTCTTCAGCCTTCATTTTTTTCATAGAAGAGCAAGCTAGCTTCTGCAGCAAGAACAGCTTCCTTTGAAACACGACACACTTCTGAATCTGAAATAGAAAACCAGCATGGAGCAGCAGCCTCAAACTGATCATCAGATTCTTCTTCGCATAAATCAGCTCTCACGCTTCTGTAAACAGTGTAATGCCCACTTCCAGCTCTTCCAAAATGCTCAACAACAGCAACAAGATGGTACAAACAAGGATCTTCGCAACTCTTAGACCACTGCACTAAGTACACAAACGTTAATATTCAACCTAAAAGTTTGTTATTCATCAAACACAACAAAAAATATATAATATATTTTTGTAAGTGAAAAACAAATACAGGGTTTAGATGCAAAACTTGCTCTTTTATGAGGAAAAGCAAAAGCCGGATTACTCTAAAATCAAACCATATACAAGGATAACAGCATACTTAAACTACCTGATCTCCTGAGTGCATGGTTTTTGAAAACCCTGCAGTTTGGGGAAAGCTGGATTCTCCTGGTAAATCTTGTGCATTTGCAGCAAATCGAGATATATCTGAAGCTAATTCTTCTGATATTCCTCCTCTCGTTAATCCATAGACATTATTATGCTTTCTCTCATCATACTGCATAGTGAACTGATTGGAACGAGTGCTTGGGTTTCTACTTTGTCCCTGAGCTTGCCATCTTCTCATGTTTTCTTCCCAACTGTTTATTTCTGACCCCCTTGTTGTGAACTGCGAAAGGTCCAAAACCAATGGAAAAGAAATACGGCCCTACAATCACCAGTACAGCAGCCCACTACTATGACATCTTTCAAACCATATTCCCAAGCAAGGAATATTTGTTATCAGGTAACATAAGCAAGAAAGAAGAGGGGTAAAAAAGGACGGCAATGACACATTGGCGTACTTATATTTTAATCTGAGTACAGAAATTGGTGACATGTGTCCAATTATTTCAAATGCTATATGCATTGGCGTACATATGTTCTCATGGATCAAATAAAGTACAGCAGGAAAGTTTAAAATACCTGAAGTTTTACAAGTTCTCCAAATACATTGATTGAAACACGTTTAAGATGAATGCATAGAATCTGCAAGGACACAATCAGACCAATGGATATTCTTAGTGATTGAAGTACATAACTACGGTCTTTAGAGGAAAAGGAAGATGTCAGGATACCTCAATAAAATACAGAATACAGAAAGTGAGAAAACAACTAGAGCAGAGTAGCTGAATTATGAAAAAAATTCCAAGAATCCTGTATCTTTTTTGCAAACAGGGTTATGTTACTGATGTAAGTCATAGGTAACGAGATCAAATAAACTAGTTTGGGTTGTTCTGGTCAAGTTTTTAGCTTTCCTCTAATCTTCTCATTCATAGTTTCACATAACCATGTGGTTCAATTCCCAATTCAGGCTTAGCTTTACCAACATAATTAAACCCATCCTACGCAATGTATCTTTTGTATAATTTTGAAGCTTCTGTTGATATAAAAATAATCTACTTTCATTAGATATTTAAACATGATGACCCGTGATATTAAATATTTGATGTTTAAACCTGATGACATGTGATATCAGAAAATTTCATAACTATCAATAAACATTCCAGTCTCTCTTTGATGTGGGGTCACAAAGTGAAATGAAAATTCCTTTGTTTTTCTTTTACCTTCTTTTTCCTTTTTTCTACAAGCCAAATGAAGACAATAAGGAAAAGAAAAAAATATAACGGAATGTTGGATCCTGTTACTAAACCTCAAGAACCAAACATGCCAAGTCAATCCACTTTGGGTTCATGCATATTTGACAGTTACATTTACAGTAGCTTCCCCAAAATGAACGATAATAAACACATTGACCATAATTTTTTAGTTAGATTGGGCTTCTTTTGTCTTATGGAAATATCTACATCTCTTCCTACAGAATTTTCCTTCCTTTTTCTTTTAACCATAATAAGCTGATTCCAACACCTTTTTAGATACCCATGTCATGCCAAATTTCCTTACTCAATCTTTTAGATGATGCCTCAAGCAAAAAAGAAATATTGGATGAAGCAGCTGAGTTATTCTCATTATGGGTATTATACATTTTTTGTTTTGTGCACAGCAAGGATTCCACACAAATAAAACCAAGTCTTCAAGATGACTACCATGTCATGCCAAACAGTTCCCAATTCCCATTTATCTTTCTTGCGAACAAGAACTGTTCATCAGTGTTGACACCTGGAAAGTACCTCAGAGCTTATGAAAATAATAAAACAACAAAAAAAACAAACCTTTGGGCAACGAGCAATACTTATTTGCTTGAGAGTACATGAAAATTTATTTGACCACGGTAGCTTATCTAGATGAAAAAGTCTTCGACAGTCACAGGAATCTTGCTCAGTGCATCTCTTAATCTTTTCAATATCTGCCTGCAAAACAAGCACACACAAGCAACAATTAAGTATTTATAGCAGTCAATAGCTCTGAAAGAAAGGGATAAGAACCTCAAGAGCCAGACTAAGGCTAGCATAAGGTAAAATAGGATAAATTAAAAAAACAAAACTAGTATTGTCCCTAGAAGAGCAGTCTGGTCACACATCTAAGCATGAAAGATGTTACTTAAGTGTCCCAGGGATGCAAAGCATTTATGGAATGTAATAAATTGTGAAGGAATGTTTTTAGTTTTTTATAATGTAAGAAGTAGGGTGTTGGAATACTAAAATGTTACTTAAAGAATATCAAAAGAGGCTGTTACTAGTGTATTCTGGAAATTCTAAAAGCATGTTTAGGAACGAGTAAGAGTCAACCATAGTGTATTATATAAAAGGCACAGACCGCTATGTCTGCATGCAGCAACCAACCTGGTTCAAAATAATTTGAGGTGCCAAGTTTCTAACTATCCTATCAGGCTTCCCTCTATTAAACCTTTAGAAATCTAGGATCTGATGGTGTTTGAGTATCATCATTTCTTTACATAATGTGTAAGAAGACTTTCTTTCTTTTTTACAACAAAGACGAAAACAAAAGGACAAGGAAAGGAAAACAAAGATAAAGGAGTAACGAAAACCATAATACTGCTGCATTCATCATATGGTAAATAAGGCTATTGAGTTGCATACATATTCTTATTGGGGATAAAGACTATAAAATTACCTCATTTACTCCTCTAGCAAATAAATACTTGACCGCAGCAATATGCCAACAATGGTTACAGTGGTAATTCTCAACTCTGTCAGCAACAGTGAACTGCTTCAGGCAATCCTCCAAGTTACATCCAACCATCTAAACAGAAATAAATTAGATTAAGAAGAAAAAGAATTGTAAAAAGGTGACATTTAGTTTTAGAAGAGAACAATCATAAGAACAGAAGTTCAGTGATAGGCTCAAACATACACAATATCAAAGAGTGAAAACTTCAGTTCACATACAATTGTCTCACCACCATCAAGAACTGGCGAAAGAGGCAAACTGTGAAAAGATTCCAAATTCAATGATATCTGCAAAATAAAAGAGGCGAGATCTGAAAGATACAAAATTTAATGATGCCTTAAATAAAAAGATAAATCATGGCTGAAGAATTGAACAGTGGCAAGTGAAAGTGGAATATTGTGAACAAATAACTTCATTTGCTAACATTTCGCACCTAAAACAAAGAAGACAGCCTACTGCGATGACCAAGACTGAAAGATGCAAAATTCGAAACAATTTAAGGAAAATTAGGCATGTGAAATTCGCTCAAGTTCAAAGGAGTGGATTTTGGAAACAGAAACAGTAGCACACCTACCAACGCCAGAGTTACAAATAATAAACTGTGCATATGTGCGAACATGAGATTAAGTATAACTCAAATAAGTGTTTCATAATATGAAGTTCCTTTAAAAAGTCATGTGAACCTGCGACGAACAACTTCGACATGTTAGGATGCTACCCAGAATTCCATCAAATGGTCCAAGGTAGTGTTGTTGCCATCTTGCCTGTTCACTCTGGTTCTCCATTCTCTTTGGAGTAATAATCCTACAATTAGAAGCAAATACTTCTACTAAAGAACATTGATTTGGAAGATAACAATCTGAAAATTCTTCTCTTAAAGAGGACAGAAGATGAAGAAATGCTTCTGCTGCATCCTACGTGCAAAAGTATTATGTATTAGACATTCAATTTTAATTTGCTCAAGTTGTGCATAGAAGGCAAAATAACACCTGCTGGCTTGTTAGATCGAAATTCTGAATATAATGTGCCACTGCAAGCATGACTCTTCGTGGACTTAATACAACTCTTCCTCCACCAACTACACGTAAATCTACAGAAATACTATAAAATTAATATGGTACACCTCATAGAAAAGCCAGAAAGTTATTAAATTTTTAAGACATGATGATATATGACTTCATTTTATGTCTTACTAAACAAAGTAGTATACCAAAAGGCATTTACATTTCCACTCAAACAAAATTCAAGTGATTCTAATAGGTTTGAACCTAACCTTCTAATAAAGCAGCCAATGCTATTGCAAGAGGAAAGCCAGAAACCTCATCCTCAACTGCTGAGAACTCATATTCCTCTAAAACCTTTTGAAGAAAGGGTTGAAAGTATGAACAGCTAGCCAGAGCCTGAGAAATTTTCAAGGGAGAAAAGAAAACCAACAATAAATCACACAATCATTATAAACTACAGAACTGCATTCATTTTGAATTTGGTATGAGAAACACACACAGACGCACATAATCTTCTCTTTTATGTTTTTAGAAATTATTTAACCTAATCAAAGGTATTAATCATGAGTCTGACAACATAATCTCTCTCTGTGTGATCGATTTCCATCGACTCAAACACGTATCAGTCAACGAACACTTCAGCACACGTGCAAGAATGCATATAATGTTCTCTTTTATGTTTTCAGACATAATTTAACCTGTCAGTGGGGCTGTGTTTGCGTGTGTGTGAACAATCTCATATTATTTAACCTGATCAATGGTGTTAACGTAGAGTGTGTATGTGTATATAACCGATTTCCATTTCCAAGCAGTTTATAAGACAGCAAACGCAATCAAACTGAAGTATTTGTTTTTCTGCTTTCCCTCCTTTGCTCTGTATTCTTAGAAGGCAACCATGCTACAAGAAACCACATACTCAAGTGTTACCTGTAAAATCACATTAAGAAAACAATTATTTCCAAGGTTTTGCAAGCCAGGTACCAAACGCAGCTTCGGAGAACCATTGTCAGTCTTGGGCAGCCAGTCTAAGCTGCTTAGCCTGCTCAATTTCGAGTCTTTGAGAGCTAAAACAAAACCAGCAATACCCAGAAGACCAGCCACAGATATGTGAAACCCAGAAGATGAAATCAAGTTCGAACGAGAAAGAGCCTTAAACCCATGTTCGAATTGGCGAATCAAGGACTTCAAAGTTACCTCTTTTTCAAACTTCATTCTATCTCAATCTTTGGTACTCCGAATTTAGAGGACCTACACACAGAGAGGGCAGAGACAGTGAACTAAAGAGAGAGGAACAAGAGTATTGCAAAACTGGTAAAGAAAACAGAGATTTCTCTGCAGAAACGTATATCAGCTTCTATGTGTAGATAAACAGAATGGTTTACCCTGAAACCCTTTAACAATTTGAGGTTGCCAGAAACCCTCCTTCTTTGCCTCCAATATCAAAATACTTTGCGTTTCTATAACTGGTGTCTGAACGTTCTCTAGGAGCCCGTTTGGAAGTGATTGGGTGCTTCACCATACAATAATTTTCATTAAAAATTCAATTATTATTATTTGGAAAAGGGAACACTTAGAAGTAGGCCAGTGAAAATGGCCCGAGCCTGATGGGCTGGCCCAAACTAGGCCCTATTTTTTGGGTTATGGTTTGGCCCGTTGTAAAAAGGATAGGGTCTGGACTACAATTTGGAAGCCCATAAACTGCCCTGTCCGCCCGATGTTTGAGTTAGTAAATAATATCTTTGAAAAAAACTTCTTTCTTTCCTGAAAAGTCAAATCATCTCTAATTACACTAGAAGCAAGATAATTGACAAAATCAGCATACCATGGCTCTTTATCTTGGATGACAAAGAGTTTTTCATCCGGGAATGATTCGTTGAGAGGCAAAATTTGTCCATCTCCATGGTTTTCATCAACAAGGCGCGACAAGTGATCAACAACAACATTTTCACTCCCTTTCTTGTCTCGAATTTCTAGGTCAAACTCTTGTAACAAGAGTATCCATCTTATCAAACGTGGTTTAGCATCTTTCTTAGTCAACAAAAACCTAAGAGCTGCATGATCAGAGTAAACAATAAATTTAGAGCCAACAAGATATGAACAAAATTTCTCTAAAGCAAAAATAACAACAAATAACTCATTCTCAGTTGTAGAGTAATTGAGTTGAGCATTGTTTAATGTCCGACTTGCATAGTAGATTACGTGTGGCAGCTTATTTACTCTTTGACCTAAAACAGCACCAATAGCATAGTCGGAGGCATCACACATTAGCTTAAAAGGCAAAGACCAATCTGGTGCCATAATGATAAGAGCATAGGTTAGTTCACATTTCAAGGTATTAAATGCAATCATACAATCTTTATCGAAGTGAAATACAACGTCTTTGGCCAAAAGATTGCATAATAGATGAGTGATCTTGGAAAAATCCTTAATGTAACGACGATAAAAACCAACATGTCCTAGAAAGCTTCTCACTCTCTTCACTGAAGTAGGGGCTGCCATATTTGAGATGATGTCAATTTTTGCTTTGTCAACTTCAATACCCTTGCTGAATATTACATGCCCCAGCACAACACCTTGTTTCACCATAAATTGACACTTTTCCCAATTGAGAATCAAATTTGTTTCCTGACATCTTTGAAGCACTAGAGAGGTTAAGACAATTATCAAAAGAAGAACTAAAAACTGAAAAATCATCCATGAATACCTCAATAAATCTCTCAATCATATCTGAAAAGATTGCTAGCATATATCTTTGGAATATTGCTGGGACATTGTAAAGGCCAAAAGGCATCCTCATATATTCAAAAGTGCCAAAAGGACAAGTGAATGTAGTCTTCTCTTGATCTTCCGGAGCAATCGCAATTTGATTATAACCTAAATATCCATCAAGTAAACAATAATATGCGTGACTAGCTAATTGCTCAAGCATTTAATCAATAAAAGGGATAGGAAAATAATCTTTTCTAGTGTCCGAATTCAACTTCCTGTAATCGGTGCAAACACACCAACTAGCTGCAAGTCTCGTTTGAACAAGATCTTTATGCTCATTTTTATAACTGTGATTCCAATCCTCTTAGGCTCTACTTGAACAGTGCTGACCCATTTGCTATTAGAAATCGAGTATATAATACCCACATCTAGCAACTTCAACACTTCAGCTCTCACTACTTCCTTCATGTGTGGATTGAGCCTTTTTTGTGGTTCACGAGTTGGTTTCACTCCCTCCTCCAATAAAATTTGATGCATGCACATGGTAGGGCTTATTCCCTTGATATCTGCAATAGACCAACCAACGGTTGATTTGAACTCTTTTAGCACCCTAATTAGCTTATCTTCTTCCAAAGGGATGAGGTCAGATGTGGATGGTTCTAATGGCTCTATAAGAGGTGAAAGAGTGGAGGGATATGGCTTTAATGCTTCCAAGGCAGCCACAATCTCCATGAGTGCAAATTCTTCATCAAAATCATTTCGAGATTGACTCAAAATATATTGTAATGGATCATTGGATTGTGCCAGCAAAAACTTAGAGAAAACAAGTTAATCAAGTACATCAATCAAACAACAATCAATTGAACTAAAAGGGTGAGAAAGAGATTCAAACACTTTGAATTGTACAGTTTCTCCTAGAACGATCATGGTGAGGAGACCATTTTGCACATTTATGATAGTCTTTGTCATGGCCATAAAGGGTCTCCCAAGCAAAATAGGTAACTCACGATCATGTATAGGAACCTCTTCCATGTCCAACACTACAAAATTCGCAGGCAAAATTAGTTTGACAACTTGAACTAAGATATCTTCCACTATACCTCTTAGATATTTCACTATTCGATTAGCAAGTTGCAATGAAATAGTTGTTGCCTTCAAATCCCCCAAACCTAATTGAAGGTACATTGAATAGGGTATTAAATTGATGCTAGCCCCCAAGTCAAGCATAGCCTTTTAAACTAGCTCGTCTCCAATGGTGATATTGATAGAAAAACTGCCCGAATCCTTGAGTTTTGGTGGAAGCTTTCTTTGAAGCACATGACTCACATTTTCATACACCATCACCTTCTCATTAGGTCCATACTTCCTCTTATAAATGTTTAGCTCCTTGACAAATTTACCATACGCTGGCATATTCCTAATGACATCAAGTAAAGGTAAATTAACATTCACTTTGCTTAAAATATCAAAAATTTCTTTAAATGACTTATTCTGCTTGCTTTTGGCGAGTCTTCTAAGAAATGAGATGGGAGGAGTGTAAGGTTTTTCGGCCTTGTGAAAATTTGGAGCTTCAGATGAAGAAGTGGCATTCCTTGTCGAACCTCATTAAATACTTTGTTATTTACTTTATATTTCAGCTTTTATTTATTTACAATACCCATTTTGAAATTCTTCAAGGCACCCAAAAATATGAAAACACCTACATGAAAGGGCGGAACTGTGTACAGCTGCATGGGGCTTTAGCCCAGGGCAGCTTTCGGCTTAAGTAAATTTTGCCCATAAGCTATAGGTTTTTATTATATTTAGCCCATCAAAACTAGCTTTAAAATATCAAGCCCAACTTTATGGCCCCAGAAAACTATACTTAGAAACAAAACCTGGAGAAGGAAGAGGATTCAAAATCGATGAGATTAAAAATAGCACTGGCATCTGGGAAAACTCATGATTCAGTCTTTGTCCGTATTTTGTCTCTGATTTTAGAAAAAAATTCGAGCAACCAATGTCTTGACCTGCCTCTTTACATGGTGGAAATAGAGTAAGCTGTTGAGATTCCAAGCACAAATGGCATCATCATCCAAGCTTCAAGCTATTCAAAGAATTGGGGGACTATTCCCGAAGATGAGCTCTTTTCAAATTTTAGAAAATAAGAAAGGTACCAAAGATGATTTAGAAAAGGCTCAATTGAAAAGGATTATGACTTAATATCAATTGAGTCTACATTACATGCTGTCTAATGAAGTTTAGCAGATTAATTCATTTCAAAGTTGATTTCTCTTGCAATAAATTCCAATTCCAATTAATTCATTTCAAAGCCGATTTCTCTTGCAACAAATTTGGAAGAAACTATTTTCACACAGCTGAACAATATGGACCTTAATTACTTTCGCTCAACTTGTTAATGGCATGGTTGAAGAATACTTGTTCCCGTCCTTTCAAAGTATGGAAGCCTTTTAACTCTTCAACCACCAAATGTTCCAAGCATCAAAGCATTCTAACTTCCCCTTCTCAATGTCTTTAATTTAAATTATAAATGTTCTACTTTTCAATGTCTCCAGAGCTAAAATTTCAGGTAGAAATAGGAATCAGGGACTGTTTCATGTGATTAATCAGCACCAGTTGAAAAGCAACACCAACTTCTAAAAACAGTAGATGTAAAACAAGAAACATAATTAGAATGAGAATCCCAATTTGATTGATTGTATAAGAAAATCAGCCTCAGACATCCAAGGAAGGATAAAAGCAGCACAAGCTCTCAAGCCTGGCGAAGGCGAAAGCTCTTAGGCGGCCACTGCGAATGTTCTTGAGAAACAAGCCTTAGATTTGTCATCACAGGTTATTCAAACCAAACATACAGCACGTTTAAATGGGATTTCAAAACTGTATGAAAATATAAATTTTGCCAAACCAAATTTCAACAATCTACGCTGGATTTTAAAAACAATTTGCAACATTAATGGAAATCCCGAAACCAAGCAGAAAGCCAATTTACAGCATCAAATTTTAAAAACCGGAGGATTTTTGTTTTGCAAAATCTCAGACATCCAAGGAAGGATAAAGCAGCATTAGCTCTCAAGCCTGGCGTGGCGAAAGCTCTTAGGCGGCCACTGCGAATGTTCTTGAGAAACAAGCCTTAGTTTTGTCATCATTGATTATAATATTAAAACATTTAAATTCAATAAAATAATCACAACAAAAAAACCAAGAACAACAGAGGTTTAAAACCCAGGTATCAAAAAATTATAAACAAAAATAATTAATTAATTAATTATATTTAACTGAAAATCATTGGGTAATTGAGATAAATTAATCCATCCCATCCAACAATGATCAGCCAGAAACAAACAGAAAACACCTTACAAAGGTGAATGGAGAAAGATCAATTTGAGGGACCTGTTCATCCCCAAACCCTAAATCAAGAATAGTGGGCATGAACCAAATATATTTCTCAACGATAACAAAATCGAAAACCCAGAATAAAAAACCAACCAGTAAATACAGAATGCATATAGAAAAACAGAGAAGCAGAGAAAAAAGTCTCAGACATCCAAGGAAGGATAAAAGCAGCACACGCTCTCGAGCCCGGCGAAAGGCGAAAGCACTTAGGCGGCCACTGCGAATGTTCTTGAGAAACAAGCCTTTGGATCTATCATCATCGACCGTTCATAATCACAACCCACAGACCAATACACAGCAAGCAACAGAAGAAAACAAGAATACAGAAACACATCTACAACAGATAATATGTAACCGGAGACGAAATCAGAGCAACCCAATCAAGAGGATTTTACAAGGTAGAAGGGAGGTACGAGGGAGAGGAAGGAGGAGAGGGTTCATTTATACAGGTCAGACAAGGTGGGGATTTTAGGGTTTCGTGGGATTAGACGGCTACGATTGGTTCGTGGAACAATCTTGACGATTTGAGAACTTTTACACGAAGGGGCATTTTTCGGATTGGGCTTTTATTTAGGGTAAACTACCGAATACCCCTGAACTATTTCAACTGTCGAAATTACCACTTTAAATTAATTTTTCAGCTAATTTAACCCCCATATTAAATTTATTCATCAATTTCGCCCCTGATTTTGGCTTTTTCATAATTCCATCTAAATACCCATTTAAAATACCACGTGAATGGCACATGCGACTTCTGTTGAGGGTAATCTCATCCTTCTAATCCTCATACCCCTTTTAGCGCTCCTTATGCCCAGTTCCCAAATCATACTTAGATATTCGATTTGGGATTGAGAGAAAGAGAGATTGTGACTAAGAGATTCGACAAAACCCACCACTTTTTTACATAACCCACCCTTTATGACAGAACCCAACACCATTTGCAAGCATTCTAACATTCTCATTCCGCTTGTGTTCATCAATTTCATGAACAAGACAAGAAATTGCAATTGAAGATAGGATGCATATGAACATACCTGCAGCTTTTACCGATCAAGGTACAAAAAGAAAAGGTTTA